TCTGCAATTAAAGATATGGTAGAAACAGTATGTAATTCTGAATTGAATCACTGATTTTATGAGTGAGTCATGAATTCAAACAATTAATTCAAAACACTGATTCGTTCAAGAACAAATACTAGCATACTGCATATTAGATATTACTACCTTTACCATAGGCTACCTTTTTTATGGAAGAAATATTAGTATGATAGTATGCTGCAGCTGTCTTTATGAGCGAGTCATTGAATCATTCACTTGTTAAACAGTTAAACACACTGATATGTTGAGGAAGTAATGAATCAGTTTTGGTTGTTTGCAAATATTTTATTTGGTGGAGCAGCAATACACAAAATAATGTGTAATATTGTGTCTAAATGTAAGTTACTGAATATGAACTTGTTCAATGAACTGTTCTACATAAGCAATATCACACAATATAGCACAATTGTGCTGTTGTTAATAATAATGCTGCTATTTAGAGCAAAATCACTCTTGCTCATATAATATTGTCTAATTACCATGCTTCTTGGACATGTACCATGGTATTTCCATGGTATTATTTAATACATTGGTAAATGAATATGGCAATTATTCAGAACCATGGTCTTAAGTTTTCTGAGTAAACACATAACATTTTGTAAGGGGTTTCTGTTCTTGTGGAAACAGCAGACAGGGCTTCTACAGCATAAGCCTCAGAATTTCCAGTAAAAAAAATCCTCCAAATGTATTCGTAATCACACCAAATCAAGTTCTGGGCATCTTGCTGAAGCTCTAATGCAGATACAGATGGCCTGGGTGGGTGGGGGATTTGGCAATGCGCCGCGGAAGATGCTGCAAAAACCCCTCTGACAGGAAATATTCTCAGCTCATTTCCTTTGCCAGAGCAGGTAAGGAAGGGCACAAATACACTCTGATTCACACGGTAATAAGTATTAGAGGCTGAATTCACCAGATAGCCATGGCACATCTTTTTCCTCAAAAGGGTTGTTCATCAGAGATTTCTATTTAAGTACTGTCATTTCTTATAAATGTTTTTTAGGCCACTGTTGGTTGGTTTGCTCCCTCAATTTCTTTTCTAATGCAGCCCTGAAATTATTAGAAATATTTAAAAGCATTCTTCCTCATTAGAGTTTCACTCCCCTTACACACACTCTGACTTTGACAGATGGGGCTCTAGTAGTCAAGCAGGCTGTCTACTGTTGATTCTTGGCTCTGTACACTCTAAAAAATGCTGGGTTGTTTCAACCCAACTTTGGGTCAAATATGGACTAACCCAACTTTTGGGTTAAAAATTTAATGTAAAAATTTAACCCAACGGTTGGGTTAGTCCATATTTGACCCAAAGTTGGGTTGAAACAACCCAGCATTTTTTAGAGTGTAGCCATGCTTCACTCCTGGAGTGGCTCAGCTGAGGGTTGATACGCTGCTTCTGTTTATATACACCACCATATGAAGCTTCAGATAGAGAGAGAAAGGAGATCAGCATCTCCCCTCTGAGCTGCATCTGCATGTGCCAATAGTTCTCTAACAATCCTCTCAGTCACAGCAAATTGAGAAAGAGAGGGAGAATGAAAGGATGAAAAGTGCTGAGCATTGCCATTTAAATTCTGCCTGAGAGGGATGAGGGTCACTGCATGGCTGTGCACTTTACTTTTGGTAAATTTTCATGCCATATCAGTATCAGTGTACTTGCTGTGAACACTCAATAGTGTAAACAAAATTTTCACATGTTTTTATGTTCATGCATATCTTTAAATTAATACATAATTTTTGGAATATGTGGTTTAATTTTGCACTTTCTTGTCAGCTAAAATATTATTTTTGTTACAAAAATCTAACATGTGACAATTTGACTACAAGTTGATAAAAGTGTCAGAATAACTGGATAAAATGACTATGACATGACTAAATCTTTTCCCTTAACTGAAGTTTCAATTTTAGAATTTCAACATAAATTAGAATTGTGGAGATAATTAAACAATATATTCATATTTGTCTTGGGTTTCCTATGCCGGTTAAGCAAGCGCAAATGAGATGAATGGGAATGCTAATAGATTTTTTGGGGTATTACATAGACATTCTTGGTAGAGATGGCTTTAGATAAATTGACTACCAACACTTTTTTTTTGGCAAGAAAACACATTAATTCCCATTAACAGTACACTGGTTCTGACAGACTAACTGAGCACCAGATGGATCCTCCAGGACTCACTCCACACTGACCACAGAATCAGCTCTAGGAGACTTCTAGTCTTCAATGGAAAATTCAGCTGCCAGTGTCACTGTGTTTTGGTGCCAAACCCAAAGGGTAGATTTGCCATAATCCCAAATGGCTGTTATCTGTTAGCTTGTTATTTAACTGAAACAATTTTTTTGCGTATTATCATGCCATTGGTTGATATTAACAATCGCCTGTGTTAAATGAATATTTTAGCGATAATAAGATGTTAGCGATAAACATCTTATTAAACATCTTAAACTTAGTATTGCTATTGCCATGTCCACCAACATATACATGGTTGACATATAGACCTAATTACAGAGTATGAGAAGCCAATATTTAGAAATTCCTTCTAGTCCCAGTTGGCCCAGTTCGTATTCCGTATTCCGTCTCCTCCACGTTACGCCCTGATGTCTGTTTGGAGCACTCTGAACCGATCACTGAGTCTTATTTTTGGAACAAGCCACGCTGCCAAGCTTGTGTCGTCCGTAGGGGTGTAAGGTTGGCCGGGTTGAGTTAATTAAAGGGGTGTGAAAGAAGGAGAGAGGGAGCAAGGCGTAAGCATGAGTATTTCCCTGTCCATGAGAGGTCATGCTGTGCACCGGCTGATGGCCGTCAATGGTGCCAGGAGAGGCCTGGCCGGCCAGAGAAAAGCCCTGTGGTCAGCACTCCATGAGCTGCAGATCCTGCCAGCATCCAGCTCTCAGAAACATAACAGGAATCCCACCTCCAACCAGCTCTCTACTGGGCCCACGCCTGGCTCCCACAAACACATCTACTCAAGGACAGTGCTGTCATTTTGGCAATTTCCAAAATGTTAATCTCTATAAAACATCCATAATTTTTCTACAAATTATGGTCTATAAAGAGAAGTCTCTTATGCACACCAAGGCTGCAAAAATATAGTAAAAACAGTAATATTGTAAAATATTATTACAATTTAAAATAACAGTTGTATAATGTATTCCTGTGATAGTAAAGCTGAAATAATTTATATATATATATATATATATATATAATATTGTAATATAGTTCAATAATATCTGAAAAAATCTTATAAATATGTCTTTATACATAGTATATAGCTGGCGCTGCCTTTATATTTTAGGAAGGTCTTTCACAAAGGGATGGGGTTAAAGCATTTAGTTTGTTTCTACTGATTTTGTTTTGATGTCTGTGGCATTATCATAATATCAGAAAGTATGTCAGAGCTGTGGCCCAGTGTGTAATGCTCATCACACACACTTGGAGATGGGTTTCAATCAAGCGGCAACAATCCGGTCTCTCTCGTGAAACCAACATGGAAGTGACTAAAACTGCAATTCATCGACTGGCCGTTAGAGGCTGGCTCCAAAAGGGAGTGAAGTCCCATAGACTCCCCATGTTAAAATGCCCAAATTTACAGCAGAAAAAAATATGTTTACAGCCTGGTACAAAAAGTGGTTTTGGTCTATATAGCTAATTTTGCCCTTCATGACAACTGTGAGGGGGGTGAATTGAGTGACAGGTGGATTGCCGCTGCTGTCACCACCGTCGAGCTAGGTGGGCATGGTTTCAGCAACCAGCTCACGCCTCTTTGCCCATTTTCGATTATCCGGGAGTGACGCGCGGTGACGTGCTGCCAAGATGGGGACGGCCGGCTCCACCTACTTTAGGCTTCAAAAACGCTCTTCGGACACCACGTCCATGTTTTTATACAGTCTATGGTTTCAATCTAGCATGTGTCCTGATCCCGTTCCCTTCTCCCTCCCTCTACTTTCCTGTCTACCTCCACTGTCCTGTCAGGCACAAAATCCCATAAAAATGAGGAGGTGTTTCTGAAGGATTCTAACCTGGCTGATGTCAGGATCCTTATTATGAGCCCTTGGTATTGAGCTGTAGGCTGCTTGCGCATTAGAAATCAGGAACACAAACCTGCCAATAGACACTGAACTGGAAATACCTGAGCTTACGGTCACATTCTGAGAGCCAACGGTCACTGCCAGGATGTGTTTACAAAAGAGAGTGAGGAAAGATGAGGAGCGGGTAGGAAAGAAGATGAAAATGTTTGTGTGTGTGTGTGCAGTGAGAGAGGCTGTATTACAGAAGAGTGTTCTGTAGTGACTCAGCTCCTTGCACCTGTTGTCTTACCTCAGAGAGTCATTCAGCCACCATATACACAGCTGCAGAATAGACGCATTATGAAACATAGCTCAGTTCAACTGATCTGACTTCGAAACTTTCAAAAGCATTTTCATGTTTCGTTTAGCCCCAGACCTTAAGGACAAATGCTACATTTGGTTTCACTGAATAGACTCAAACCAAAAAAAAATTATGAATTCAGTGGGCTGCTCAGGCTATTAGCTGAGGTGATGGTTTTATATTTCTGAGTTGGCTGACATTTACATTCACAAAGAGACACTTTCACAGTGTCATCTGCTCTGCCAGAACATTGAAACAGAGCGAGTATGTTTGTGTGTGCACTTCAGTGTAGGTTTGGTCTTATTAAAATTGCCTTGAGTCCTTGCCACTAGCACCTGCATGTGCATTATAACGTTGATTTAAAATAAATTTAGTTTTTAGTTTTTTTTTTTTTAATGTGGACAAACCATATAGAATTTATCAGCTATTGGCCATAAAATAAAATAAAGATTAGTTATAGTCGATGAACATCAAACTGAGAGGATAAAAACATTTTACTATTTTAAAATTAATTTAACTCACAATTTTTCTGATATTTTCCTAGAATAAGTTAGAATAAGTAAAAACAACTCCAAATATTATATCTGGGCCATAACCCTCTTTTTCTTTCTTTCAGAACCCTCTAGGAACCCTCTAAATGGAGATGCCATATTTCAAGAATAATTTTTGGGTAAGTCTGTCACATTTCTTATGCGATGGGGTTTTTAATGTTTCAGCTTTGTAGCAGTACAGTAAGAGTGAATGTTTGGTACAGTTGCCTTGTAAGCAGTTTGGAATTCATATGCTGACTGTTTTAGTCGCATCATTGAAAGTATGAAGGAGGGATGGAGTGAGGATAGAACAAAGAGAGTAAAAAGTGAGAGAACAAAAGCAGAGGGCAGGGGCTTTGTCAGCTTTCCCATGAGGACAGCCGTGCTCTGCTCTTTCAGCAAACCTGGCAAGGCTATTTCAGGTGCGTCCTACTTTAATACCCAGTCTGCTCTCAAAGAACGAGGGAGAAGAGGGGGAAATCAAGGCAGAACGTTGAGGAACCACTGCTACTGAATACAGGCCACATTATAAGAGTACGGAAGCCTTCCTACCTGATAAAGTCGTCCATATGTTAAAGGAATTTACAACATCTGTGCCATCAGATTAGTTTTAGAGATACTTTTGTTGTAATGTGGCATTTTTGCCTGCCTCTAAACATCACTTGAAAGTAAACGGCATACCGTGATCCTGTTTAAATAAGAGTGCTCCAATCCGGATTTTTGGAGCCGATCACCAATCGTCGATCACAGGAAGCAGTATCTGCCAATATGATCACCGATCACCGATCTTTTTGAAGCCTTCTTTTTATCATGTAGAATTATTTATAGTGATGCTCCAATCAGGATTTTTACAGACATTCATTCAGGGCTGAATTTCATTTTTGAAAATGGGGGGAATTGCTCTCTTAGGTGATTCTTGTGGGGGTATTTTTTAATTTGAGGGGTGGAGGCAGGGGGCTTTTTTTTTATTTTATTTTTTTTTATATTTTTCGAACATATATAATTATCTCACCTAAATGTTTGATAATGCAGTGCATTTTGTTTTTACAATGGGGCAGTTGCTGCACAATAGCTTACACACAGCACAGGCCTGATTTCGTGAGCTGGATGTGAGGCTGCCTTATGTGTGTGCACTTTGAGTGTGCATAAGCGCACCATCTCTAGAAGAGCGCACGAGTGCTGAATGGTTTAAACACTGGCCAGACTTAAAAAGAAATGCAAATTCTAAACTTTAGAGACGATGCAACACTGCCTCGATTGTGCAAGTGACAATTCCTGTGTCAACTGTGCAGCATGCAGCTCGTTTATAGTGTAGACGCGATGTGATGATTTAAAGCCATTTGCACATTTTGAGAGGGAAAGAGTGATTCACTAATGCTGTTCACGATTCACTGCACGTTGTCAGTTTGAGATCGGCCTTTATAGAGGCCGCCGATCAAACTTCCCAAAGTGATTATCAACCGATAGCGATCGGTATCTGATCAATCGGAGCACCCCTATGTTTAATCTGAACAGCCCTTCTTTCATTTGTTGTCTTGACTGAGGTTTTATTTTTGAGTTCCTCTACTGTGTTCTTCTGTGTGGTTGCAGCCTTTGGTCTGCTGACCGGTTTCAGCAAGGTCATTTAGTTGTCTGGCTTTGTGTTGCAGAACTGTGGTAGATGCAGAGACCTCCACTATTGTGTTCTTACACAAAGCTGGTGTAAACCCCCTAGCCCACCCAGAAACCCACCCCAAACTCCAAAGCATCCATGCAGAACTATTATTCACTCTGACCCCCTCATCACTCATGCAGATGTATGCAGACGTTCTGTCCTTCACTCTTTTCTGTTACTCTGAAAAGCAGTTTTTAAAATCAACATGAAATCAAAGTGACTCATTTTACTCTAATACACATTTTGGTCTTTTTGTGCTTGATTCATGAATACATGTATTTTTATTTATTTATTTATTTTTTTTGCTATGATGTTTCTAGGTGGTTATTCTGGTGATCTGGATGGTTGTTAGGGTGATCATAAAATTACAGAAGTAAAATGCATTTAAAACACTAATTCTCATGTTGACTGTAAAGAAATTCATTGTCATTCTAATATGTGTCTGTGTGTTTGCATATAATGGGATCATAATTGTGTGTGTTCGTCTGTTGTGTGTGTTCATCCTTCTCTGATGGTTTCTCCAGCAATGAATAAAAACACCGGTGTGAAATGACTGAGACGACACATTTGGGTAATTACTGAAAATGCATGATTAATTAAGTCTCCGAGAGGGAATTCGCAATCGCAGTGATTAAGCAGCACATTCCTTATTTAGCTCGTATTATTTAGCTCTTATTTAGCTTCATCCTTACAACTGTCTTCAATCTGTTTCTTCCTCAGATGGAAAACAGAGCATTCAGCAGGCCGTCAGATGTTTGTCGCACAACAGAGAGCTCATTTAGCAGCCTAATCAGTTCATTTTGTTTCATTCTGTTTCAGTTTTGTGAGGTAGGATGCGGATTATCGCAGTCTCACATTAAAGTGTTTGTGGCTTTGGAGCTTTGGAAGATGAGAGTTTGGTCTAGAAAATTGTTTAAAGCATGACCGTAGCTCAGGACTCTACAGAGCGTGTATTTTCTTGCCTTTGCCTGTAAAAATGACTTTGACCACAGACCACACCAGTGCGAGTGAAATATGCCGCCCAATCAGACCTCATGAACTTATATAGTAGTACCATCAGAAATCCAACATTAGACACAAATTAAATTTCATACTGAGATATTGTGTTCAGTTTGATATATTTTTTAAATATTCATTTATGCATTGACCACATTTTTATAATTAAGGTTTATTGTGAAATTGATGTATAGTGTATGAATATTAATTGAGTCATTAATTTGGTCATCACGTTGCTTAGTAACCTTCCAGGAGTGTTCAGTCATGTAACTTAATATAATTAAGTATTTGAAAATAAGGTTCAGGAATATGTATTATTCAAAATTATTCATAATAAATATTCATGAGCCATTCTTTTATAATAGTATTCTAATAGTAGAATTTGTTACTTAATTAGCACACACTTAACAGTGTCTTTCTTTCAATATATTATGGCTACTGAGCGATTCGTAATTCGTCCCCATTCATTTGTGTTTTAGGTCATGATCCATCAGTTTCCACTGTCATATTGTGACTGCGGGTGGGCTTTGCTTGTGCATGAAAGCAACCATCTACAACATGTAGCAAGCACTAATTTAATTTTAAACAATCTATTTTTCAGTCTCGTGAGAGAATTCCTCAAGTCAGTGTCTAGTCCTGTCTCCATCTCCAATGGACCACATGATGAGAATGATGTACTTTAAGTCAGTCAGTGTTTTCCCTCTTTCTCACCTAAGAGCTAATGCAGTTATTCATTATATTCAGAGGTGACAGGTCTGGGCCGTGTGTGTTTGTGTGTTTTAATGTGCAGTCAGCAGTATTTTAAGTCTTTTAACACTACAGCACCTCTGCATGGAGTTCTGGGAAATGAGCGAACAATCAAATATAATCAAATAACACTAAAATTCTCATCATGATGCAAATGATGATGAAAAAAAAGGAAAAGGAATTCACGGAGAATTATTTTGATTGATATTTTAATATTTATTAATATTACTAAATATTTTTAGTATTTCAGACTGACCGCTTCAAACCGCTAATCAGTTTTAAATATTCATTCATTAAATATCCAGCTCATAATATATCCAGTCCATAATATCCAGTCATTTGTTTCATGGTCTGCTGACCGGTTTCAGCAAGGTCATTTAGTTGTCTGGCTTTGTGTTGCAGAACTGTGGTAGATGCAGAGACCTCCACTATTGTGTTCTTACACAAAGCTGGTGTAAACCCCCTAGCCCACCCAGAAACCCACCCCAAACTCCAAAGCATCCATGCAGAACTATTATTCACTCTGACCCCCTCATCACTCATGCAGATGTATGCAGACGTTCTGTCCTTCACTCTTTTCTGTTACTCTGAAAAGCAGTTTTTAAAATCAACATGAAATCAAAGTGACTCATTTTACTCTAATACACATTTTGGTCTTTTTGTGCTTGATTCATGAATACATGTATTTTTATTTATTTATTTATTTTTTTTGCTATGATGTTTCTAGGTGGTTATTCTGGTGATCTGGATGGTTGTTAGGGTGATCATAAAATTACAGAAGTAAAATGCATTTAAAACACTAATTCTCATGTTGACTGTAAAGAAATTCATTGTCATTCTAATATGTGTCTGTGTGTTTGCATATAATGGGATCATAATTGTGTGTGTTCGTCTGTTGTGTGTGTTCATCCTTCTCTGATGGTTTCTCCAGCAATGAATAAAAACACCGGTGTGAAATGACTGAGACGACACATTTGGGTAATTACTGAAAATGCATGATTAATTAAGTCTCCGAGAGGGAATTCGAAATCGCAGTGATTAAGCAGCACATTCCTTATTTAGCTCGTATTATTTAGCTCTTATTTAGCTTCATCCTTACAACTGTCTTCAATCTGTTTCTTCCTCAGATGGAAAACAGAGCATTCAGCAGGCCGTCAGATGTTTGTCGCACAACAGAGAGCTCATTTAGCAGCCTAATCAGTTCATTTTGTTTCATTCTGTTTCAGTTTTGTGAGGTAGGATGCGGATTATCGCAGTCTCACATTAAAGTGTTTGTGGCTTTGGAGCTTTGGAAGATGAGAGTTTGGTCTAGAAAATTGTTTAAAGCATGACCGTAGCTCAGGACTCTACAGAGCGTGTATTTTCTTGCCTTTGCCTGTAAAAATGACTTTGACCACAGACCACACCAGTGCGAGTGAAATATGCCGCCCAATCAGACCTCATGAACTTATATAGTAGTACCATCAGAAATCCAACATTAGACACAAATTAAATTTCATACTGAGATATTGTGTTCAGTTTGATATATTTTTTAAATATTCATTTATGCATTGACCACATTTTTATAATTAAGGTTTATTGTGAAATTGATGTATAGTGTATGAATATTAATTGAGTCATTAATTTGGTCATCACGTTGCTTAGTAACCTTCCAGGAGTGTTCAGTCATGTAACTTAATATAATTAAGTATTTGAAAATAAGGTTCAGGAATATGTATTATTCAAAATTATTCATAATAAATATTCATGAGCCATTCTTTTATAATAGTATTCTAATAGTAGAATTTGTTACTTAATTAGCACACACTTAACAGTGTCTTTCTTTCAATATATTATGGCTACTGAGCGATTCGTAATTCGTCCCCATTCATTTGTGTTTTAGGTCATGATCCATCAGTTTCCACTGTCATATTGTGACTGCGGGTGGGCTTTGCTTGTGCATGAAAGCAACCATCTACAACATGTAGCAAGCACTAATTTAATTTTAAACAATCTATTTTTCAGTCTCGTGAGAGAATTCCTCAAGTCAGTGTCTAGTCCTGTCTCCATCTCCAATGGACCACATGATGAGAATGATGTACTTTAAGTCAGTCAGTGTTTTCCCTCTTTCTCACCTAAGAGCTAATGCAGTTATTCATTATATTCAGAGGTGACAGGTCTGGGCCGTGTGTGTTTGTGTGTTTTAATGTGCAGTCAGCAGTATTTTAAGTCTTTTAACACTACAGCACCTCTGCATGGAGTTCTGGGAAATGAGCGAACAATCAAATATAATCAAATAACACTAAAATTCTCATCATGATGCAAATGATGATGAAAAAAAAGGAAAAGGAATTCACGGAGAATTATTTTGATTGATATTTTAATATTTATTAATATTACTAAATATTTTTAGTATTTCAGACTGACCGCTTCAAACCGCTAATCAGTTTTAAATATTCATTCATTAAATATCCAGCTCATAATATATCCAGTCCATAATATCCAGTCATTTGTTTCAGGAATCGGATGGAGAGTGCTGTACATACAAGTTTTCACACAGCCAAATTAGGCATGGAGTACTGTAAAAGAACAAGAACAATGTTTTAGGGCATTTAGCATTCATTTAAGCTTGATTGTGAGTATTGAACAAGACTGTCTGTGTTTCTTAGTTTAAAACTCCATTTTCATTTTGTGTACACCCTATTCAAAATTAAAATCACACAATCCTGCTGCTTCTTGGAGCCCTGGTGAACTCATGGACCTGCACTGACAGTAGTATGTGAAAAGGTTTTTGGAGGGACTACAGTGAACATGGTGTTCTGTTCTGTCGCTTGTCGTTTGTGTGCGTTTAGTGGGTCTCACATGATTGCCTCACTTCCCTGAGCAGAATGGCACTGGAACGCCCTGCAATCATCCAGTTACAGCTTCCATGAGACACGGCTAAGTCATCAAACTCCATATTAGTCCTTACATGCTGCTAAAGTCATCATCCCTGCTTGTGTGTTTACAGCACGGGGTAATTAAAATCAAGTGAGACTGGTTATGTTTTGCAGACTAACACAGGTTGTCATTGTGAGGTGGTTCTTAGAAGAAGCTACTGTTGGAAGTTCAGCCTCATGCTCAGACTGACTTTTAACAGAGAAGCCCATTGACAAGGCATGATGGGAAAGTTAGAAGTTAAAATAATTGCTGAAAACATTTAAAAACCCTTTTCAGAATAGCTCTCGACATTTGGTGACATTTTGTGTCGTAACATTTTTTTCTCCGAAAAATAAATGTCACAATTAATTAAAAAGAAACGACAAGTAACACATTGAATTAAACATGACATTTTTAAGTTGAACAACTGAAATAGTATTTTCTTTAAAATAGTAGTTTTATTTCCAACTTTGAAAAATAATTTTCATATTGCACATTACCGATAGATATTAGAGAAGCCAACTCGCTAAATATTTCAATAGAAAGCTAAAAACTTTTACATAGTTTTATTTTAGCTTTTAGCTAGCAAATGACTTTTCTGAAATATTTTATGCTTTCTTTTATTATTTATTAGTTGTAATTTCTAGCTTTTGTTATGCATTTTATGTATGATAATTTTGTCTTTTTTACCATTATAAAGTGGGTTTCATCTGTAATCGTATGTTACATTAAATTAATTTTTTTTTTTTTTTCATGTGAAGTACTTTGTGCTTACTGTAATGCTTTTTATTGTAAAGTACTTGATTCTTGTGTGAAAGGAGTTATAAGAATAAAGTTTATTATTATTATTTTCTCAAACATATGAGACTCCCATCTAGTCACAGATTAGTTAACAGGGTTTTTTTAAAACATATTAACATTATTTTTATACAAATAAAATGTAGAATTTTAATGTTTTAAATAAAATTATATCATTTCAAAGTTGTGCACTTTCTGAAGAAAATGTAAGTTTTGCCAGGGTGGCTGGGTGGTGTTGCTAGGTTGTTAGAGTGATCTGGATGTTTGCTAAGGTAATCTGGGTGAATCGGTTGTGATCAGATAATTATGTTGCTGAGATGCTGAAAAAACAACACAGGATGAAACACAATGACCAAAGATGTCCATCTGTGTGTAGACTAGCTTTTCACCCTTCACAAGTGCCACTTCCTGACAAACTGAATTTTTTAACAGCTTTGGCTCTTGTTTTTAACAAGAAGGAATACTTCAGCCTCTCTCTATCACCGACACACACGTATGCCTGTCACCTTATGGAATGAGCCGTCATATGTGATCCCACTCTCTTACAGTTACCAGGGGAACCCTGTCGCTTTAGCAACCGCTATCTTGGTAGGAGACACGTTAATACCAAGTGTATTGGAGTTTCTCTTTCAACACCTGCAGCCCTGTTTAATGTCTTTGCAGCCGTTCTGTTTCTCGCTCCCTGTCTGTCATGCTCTCTTCAAACACAAAGCGTCCTCTGTGGCCTTAGATAAGGTGAATGGCAGATACTGCTGTATACTTTGCAAATGAACTTCAGGGAATGAAGCTATGAAAGAACAGAAATACTCTGGGTGTCAGCAGATGGCCTATCATTCCATTTGCTTTCAGCACCGAATTCTGACTGAAGTGTCAGGGGAAAAGATTGTTGGTTTACTTGCCAGATACTTGTTTACCATCACATGCATATAAAAAGAGAGAGAGATATGTGAGAGAAAGGGGCAGAGGAGAGTGGAAGAAGGAGAGAGACAGCTTTAAAAGGGGTGCTGTTGTACCTGTGCTGTGTGGGCAGAGCAGAGAGAATCGTGGGAGATCAACTTTCCAAAGGGGTCAGGTTTCAACAAGCATACTGGCCACAACAAACATCAGCTGTTGTTTTTCTTTTTCTTTTTTAAAGATTGAAATTACATGTTGGTTGCAATTGGTTCACTTAGTTTTTGTTGTTTTGTAACCTTAGTTCTTCAAACAGCACATTTCTGTAATCATGTACAAAATAAAGAACTGAAATTGAACACCGGAAGTGTTCATGGGTAAATGATACCCTAGTCTAGATCTGACTATAGTGCCACAGGAACTTCATAGAGTGCAGGAGTGAATCCACTTTTTCAGCTTCCTGATTTTCATATTTATTTTCTTCATAGGGATTTTAAATAATTGTTCAATAAAGTCTTAAACCAAACCATGCACAACATTGCAACATTTGATTCAAATCAAAAGTATTTGATTACTTGATTTGGTTCAGTTGTTTTTTGGAACTTCACCACACCATAGAATTGTAGCAGCTCTGTCATTGGCTAAAATCGATTCTGATAACCTCTACTTTCCCCTGTGGAACACAGAAGCTTGACCTTTGACCTAGTTTTATGTATGATCTGAATTTTGTATTTTAACTTGAAGCTGCAATTTTTTGTGATCTGAATATTTACAGCTAATTTCACCTCAGAGAACATAATAAAATCTGCTGTTTAAAAACACAAATGTATAAAATATGCCACCAAATATGCCACCATTGTTAAATGTTATGTCTAAAATTCAAATGTACAAAATTCATTTTCTAGTTTCATAAATAACCAGCTGTTGACTTGTAGCTCACAAGTTTTTCACTTTCTCAATGACATGCATCTAAAAAGATTCAAATTAGACCTAAGTGATAAGTATTTAGGAGAACTTAGGCTGAACTGCACAAATGAACATCACTTGTCTTCATCAGCGATACTCATACTTGACATCAATATTTGTGCAATACTTCTGTCTTTTCCAGTAGAATGTTAGAGACAGCTTTTGTTTTGGTATATGTTCTGGCTTCTCCAGATTCTATCCTTGGATAGTAGGAATTTTGTCAATTTTCTTTTACCTGGGAAGTTCTTTCTATGGTGTGGAGGTATTTATGGCCAGTGACTGCCCTGGTTCTGTCATCTCTTTCTGTCTCTCCTTTGTTGACAGTTTTCTGTTTGCTCAAAGAAAGGGGGCTATTTTTATACTTGCTAACTTTGACCGCAGGGTGTGCCGTTGCTTTGTTCCTAAGGTAATCATCTGAGGATCTGCCTACTGGGCCTTGGCCTTTGAGGGAAATCTGTGTGTGTTGTGCTCCTTGCTCGCGTGGCATGTCTTGCATAAACTTCTGTGATATTGTTTTGTTGTTATTTTCACTGTACTACACTGCATTGTGATTTTGAGACATCTTCAAGGAGAAGTGAAGGTAGTGATGTTACAAAGAATTAGTGTGTGTTTGAACCAGTTTTGGACCTCAATCAGCTTCACGAAAGCTCGTTTATATAGCATAAACTGAGAAATTACAAATTACAAATGCTGACATTCTGTAGAGGCACATACTGTATTTTGTGCCTGCTGTAGTCAACGGCCCACAGTCAGCAGTCCAATCTTCCAAGCTCCTCTTGCTATTTTTATTTTAACACTTATTTGTTTCTGATGATTAATCATTTTTACACACACTGCAGGAATGTACCTTATGTTGGTGTTTTTCTTTGTTCACAGGGAGAGAAGAATGCAGGTTTCGACATTCTCTACCACAACATGAAGCATGGACAGATCGCCACCAAAGAGTTGGCTGAGTTTGTGCGTGAGAGGTGAGGTGTTGTTTTGGGAGGAGTCGTCATGGTGAGGGGGAGGAGGGGTGAGATGGTGTAACTGGTACTGTCAGGAATGTGACGTGAAATTTGTTTTCTACTCATTTTCTACTCCTCACTTCTTGTGTTTCTAACTCTGCAGTAGCAGTTGTGTTTTTAAAGTGAAATGATAAGTGGAATGTTCGTGTTATGATGTTTCAATAATGTTATGCTGCATTATATTGTACCTTGTTACTATAACGTTGTCTTATTTGATTTTAATGTTATGTAATACTGTTATATTTATTATTGTCTTATTTGATCTTACTTCATCTTATCGTTTAATGTTTCATGACATTCTGTACTTTATTGTTACTGTAATGTTATGTCTTATCTACATTATTATTATTATACATTACATTTTTGTGATGGTTTGTCTTATTTAATCTTACTATATGATGTTATATTTATTTTCCTACAGTTCCTACAGTACGTTGTTAGTGTAATGTTTTGTCTTATGTTTTATCGTATAGTGTTACATTACATTATGCTACATTACGTTATTGTGATGTTTTGTCTTATTTGATCATATTATTTAATGTTACATTACATTTTCCTTTGCTCTATTATATTGTCATAGTGTAATGCTTTGTCTGATATTTTACATTGTTATGTTGTTACAATATTGCAATGTTACGTTATTGCAGTGTTTTGTCTTATTTGATCTTATTACATTGTATCATATTATATTATAGTACAAATTAAACATAGCATAGTATAATGTAATGTGATATCTTAACTGATATCATTGATTCTTATTGTATGGCATATCTTTTTTTTATCAGATTTTTATTATTTTATTTATTTTTTTGCTCTTTGGTTGATTTCTCCACACCACAGTTCTGTTTTTCAGCACACAGCACTGAAGTGTCAAAACACACTAACCTGAGAACAGCAGAGCAGTCAACAAAGTGTTCACTGTCCACTCATGCACATGTCTACAAATGCAAGGCAGCTCAGCAGTCAGAAAATGCCGTACATGCAGCATATAAAACAGATGAAGAAAGCTTCATTTCACCATTCCACTGACAGCATATGTGGGATGTGTGAGCATTCCTTTTGGTCTGTAGTAGACATTTGAGTTGGAGCTAATTGCAATAATTAAAATGAAATCTCCAAAATGACTCTCTCATTCTGCAGAGAGAACAGAGACTATTTACAGCTCCGCCAAGCCTCCTGCCAACTTTCATAGTCTTTTCAATCCGTTATAATGGAGCTGGATGCAGGCACTCTCAGTCACTGGACTGGAGGATTAAACTGTATTTTTTTATGTTAGAAATCTGTCCAGGAAAGCCCTGGAGGAGAGTGCTGAGAAATTGAGAGAGACAAATAGGTCCCTGATAAAAGCATAGCTTGTGCAATAAATTACATAAATCAATTTTCAAAGGCCATTTTGCATCCACTCAGGACATTGTGCCTCAAAGTGGCTGTGCTCCTTGAAGAATCTGACTTGACTTTCCATTGTGCTGTCCCAACAGAAAGAAAAATTTCACTTATAAGAATCAAATAAGATGTTTTCTAAGAGATAAGGCCAACAATATAGTTTGACGGACTGGGATGATAATGACAACATCCTTTTTCCCATGAGCAGACTCTGAAGTCAGAACAAAAAAGCTTGGCTTATCGGAGAAGCAGATCACATAGTGGTTGATAAGAAATATTTGGTCTTTTCAGCTTTGGCCGTGACAATTTGGAAAACTACTGTGTGTTTTCTCACACTTTTTGAGGGGTTTTTGTCCTGATGGTTGCTTTTAAAGTCAGTCATGGTTTCCCTTACAAAAACGTACCATGTACGAAACCATACAAATGTAGTGTGTGCACTATTACAAATATATACGCCTAGCAACTTTCATCGAAGAACTGTTTGTGACCTTTGAGACATTAATGTTGGTGCTAAATCACTTTAATGTGAAAGTATATTTGCTTTTGTGTTTGTAAGCGAATCTATTACCGGCTGACACTCTGTGTGTGTTTGTGCTTGCATATAAGGGCGGCCATCGAGGAGACTTACTCGAAATCCATGAGCAAACTGGCCAAGATTGCTAGCAATGGAAGCCCTCTCGGGTGAGTAACATTATTCCTGTAATTATGAGATTAGGATTTTGACATTTTACAGGCACTATTGACCAGAGTAGGTAACAGTTTTGGACTTTAAGGTATCATGTGTTGAAAATCACTATTACCATCTGATTTAGTCATCTAGAGAGGAACAAAACATTAAAAAGTTTACTCTTGAAAAGTTTGGCCTACTGCTGCCTTACAGATACTTATCAGCAGGGAGATTCAGGAGGATTGTATGTGTATTTTTGTGTACAAGTACGTGCGGTTGTGTGTAATTTGTCAAAACGTCGTTGCTATGGTTAGCTCTTTCCTCTGCTCTCTTCACCTCACTTCCTGTCTGCATGTGCAAGTTCTCACAAAACAAGCACACAGTGCTTTAACACTGTAAAAACAGACTTTGCAGTGATGCAAAGTGGGTATAGAGCCAAACTGGTTAAATAATTAAGAGCACAAATACAAAGCTAAGAGAAATGTACCTTTTTTCATATGAACTTTGTTTTTGGGTGTCTTGGGGAGTCAGGAGAAGTAGACTTACAAAGGCAAGGAAGCCTGTTGTTTTTCTAATAGTGCTGTGCTATAAGAACTCCGAGCAGCTTACGCACTCCCATACATCAGCATCTAACCACCTGCTTTGCTCCCCAGCACGTTCGCCCCTATGTGGGACGTGTTTCGCGTGTCCTCGGACAAACTGGCCCTCTGCCACCTGGAGCTCATGAGGAAGATGAATGACCTTATCCGTGACATCAACAAGTACAGCGAGGAGCAGGTCAAAATTCACCGCAAGGTAAATGAAGGGCTTTTAGCCTGATAGAATTTCTGTGCATGTCTGATCATTTCCGATCCCCTACAACATTTCAGAACGAGTGCATTGGGTTCTAAATTTGTGCTTAATATCTGTTGTTTATTTAAATATGTTGTGTCTTATGTAGACGAAAGAGGAAATGATCGGGACTTTGGAGTCAGTGCAGTCTCTTCAGGTGCAGAGCACCCACCTGCAGAAGGCCAGAGAAGGCTATCACAGCAAGTGGATAGAGCTGGAGAGACTGCGCAAAGAAGGAGTGCCTCAGAAAGAGCTGGAAAAGGTGTTTGTGTTTGAGAGAGAAGACTTAAAAGTCCAAAAATGTCAATTCTGTCATCATTTACACACCCTCATGTCATTGTAAACCTCAAAAAGGACAAAAGCACCATAGAAGTAACATGAAAGTAGTCTATGCGATTTTAAGTTATTTACAGATAAAATGACCAGTTTGACTTGGGAACTGGATCAGTCTGATTTGTGAACCACATCAACTGATTCATTAAAACTGATTCAAAAGAGCAGTTTGTTAACGAAGCAGCTGTCACTACCTTTCTCTTGAATGCGCCATAGACGCAGGCCGATGTTTTTTCAGAATAATGACGCTCGAAAGCATAGAAAAAATTCTTCAAAAAGTATCCTTTTATGTTCCACTAAGGAAAGAAAGTCATACTAGTTTGGAATGACATGAGGGCAGCTTTTTTGGTTGAACTAATCCTTTAAGATAGTAGCCTTCATCCTGTTTTTGTCATCTTAAAAAAATAAAGGCTAAATTTCTAACTTTCTTATGTATATATATATATATATATATATATATATACACACACATATATTGATCTGTATCTTTCTCTTTTCTCAGGCTGAGCTGAAATCTAAGAAGGCAGCTGGGTCTTTTGCAGGGTCTATTGAGAAGTTTAACCGTGCTGGAAGAGACTTTGAACAGAAAATGAGTGAATCAGCACAGGTTGGTGATTTTTCAGGATTTTTTCCAGCCCTGCTAAGGGCATAAGCACATACCACAGTCGCATGTGTGAAACATTTTAAAGCAGGGGTTAGCTCACTAGTTCTCATAATCTAGACCTTCAGAGCAAATTTTACAGTATTTCAATGAGCTCAATAAAGCAATGTAAAGTTACTATGGCTACAAGGGCCATTAAAGCAGTCTGTTTGACAAAATGATTACATGTCTAGTCTATTTCTGCCTGGTGTCGACCTGCAAGTATGAATAATTTGAGAGCAAAGAAAGGATGAATCAGTAAAATGTAAGAGTCCTGACAACACTCTGAGAGTCGTGGTATCCCTCAATTAGGGCTTCAGCAATAATCTTTAAATTATAGAGGCTGACCACTATTAAATGCCAGAGCCAGTTCTATTTAAACTCAGCAAGTTTAAATATAAGGTCCTGATTTACAGAGATCCCAAATAAAAGTTGCAAATATGCTTGTACAGCCTAATAAAATGCTTTTCAGCTCCATCTGTTGAATTGTCATCAATGTCAGACAAAAAAATCCTTATTTTGCACATGTATTATTCACACATGTACTCAGTTTTCTGTTGTTCCTAATTACAAATAGGATTATCTAAACAGTCCTAAAAAGTACAAAATATAATTTAAAAATAAAACTATAACACAAAGAAGGTAAAATATTAAAACAACTTTCAGAAGATTTTTTGGCTTGATTTTGCTTAAAATGTTTTCATTAATATCAGACGGTAATGACTAAAAGTAGGCAGTGAAGTTATATAATTATTTTATAAAATAGATGTATGTTTTACAACTTAACTGTCTTTAAAAGATATATCAGATCTGTTTTTCTTTTATTTCTTTAAAGCAATAAGAAGGTTGAGGCCATATTATATTGTAAATATTCACAATATATACACTTCTGTTCAAAAGTTTGAGAAAATTATGCTTTTATTAAGCAAGGATGCATAAAATTGAGAAAAAAATAAATACTTTTACATTGTTACCAAAAATGTCTGGTAAATTATTTTTTTTTTTTAGTTGTTATTAATATTTTACTGTGTTTTTGATTAAATAAATGCAGCCTTGGTACGCCTAAGAGAAAAATATTTTAAAAGTCTTACCAACACCAAACTTTTAAACAGTAGTGTAAGTCAGTAGAGGTCAGTAGCTTCTCTTAGCATTTGTCCTTCTACATCTGCAGAAATTTCAGGACATTGAGGAGGCTCATTTACGTCGGATGAAACTACTGATCAAAGCGTATTCACACTCCATTGAAGACACACACGTACAGGTTGGGCAGGTACGGCTCACTGGAGATTTGACCTACTCCTATATTCTGTTTGCATACTGTAGTTGTTCAGATGAATTACCCCGTGGCTCAGAGTTGTTCTGGTCAATGTGGTCTCGATTAGCTGTGCTTGATAAAAATCTTTGTTCTGTCTCCTTCAGGTCCATGAGGAATTTAAGCAGAACGTGGAGAACATTGGCATTGAGAACCTCATTCAGAAGTTTACAGACCAGAAGGGAACAGGGAAGGAGAGACCGGGTGAGTCACAGAAAGATAAAACAATTTCCCCAGAAATTGCATTTCTGTTTTATTGGATAGCAATGCATTGAAAATCATTCTTCTGCAAAATACAAGGTTTTATAATTTGTCATATAGTGAATTACAAATGTACCGCTCAGCTCCAAACCTTCCTTAAACTACTGTGTGTGTGTGTGGATAAGGTCCAGTAGGGTTCGAGGAATATCTGTCCCCACTAGTGTCTGAGAACAGTAAAAAGAGTCGTGCTAAAGCCTTTAGGATCCCTGGACTGGGAAAGAAAGACAAGGAACCGGATTCAACGTGAGTCATGCGTTTATATGAAACGCAACACATTTAATGTTCTAGATCAGGCCTGTAATAGACTTTGAGAGCATTCATAGTTAGTTTTTCAGTGACCAATTCTTTTTATTTACTGTATGGCTTTTCATACCTCTTCTGTTTTTGTCCTCTAGAGATTCAGCTGTGGCAGATGCGCTTGTGAGTACACATAACACACACACACACACACACACACACTCTTTGCTGAATTGTTTTTACACAGAGAACAGGTGATTGTGTGTGTGTGTGTGTGTGGTTACTGGTCTTGTATCATCAGCTGTCCTTGATTAAACTTCTGTGACACTTTTTAGACCGTCTAAAAAAAGTCTCATCTCAAACCAGTTGTTACAGTTTACTAACACACATATATACATAGACCATAAATGCTATATTAGTGAGAACATCTCAAAGACAGAGATGTTTTTATGTTTTATTTATTGGAATATAATTTATACCAAAATTGTTAATTGCATGTTTTCTTATGAACAATTTCATTTTTCACAAATTTAGGAGGACAAATTTGTCCTTTAAAATAGCTAAGTAAACCCTCCTCCTGAAGTAAACAGACACATACTGTACACAGAATGCAGACTCTTTTTCTATACAGACTTCTGTGTGTATACACTATGCAAGAGAGAGTGACATGTTTGGCAAGGTCTGGTTACCTCATTAAGCTATATTTAACCTTGGCAATACTCAGGGTGTTTAATGAATGTTTGATATAGCCCACTGACTGCCAGAATCCTTCATAAACACACACGTGTTACGGGCTGTTATGCAAGACGTCAGACCACTACTAACTCTCTTAAAACATCGGCACTGTTTTCATATGAGCCATGGCAACAGCATTAGCGTGTTTAAGAGTGAAAGACAGACCACATCCATGTTACAGACCTCTGAAGATTCATCACTCTGTCACCTTATGTCCTGTGCCTTTAAATGTTGTTTCTTATTGTGAGCTTGTGCTGTCTGTTTGTGCTTGTGTGTAGAACTCACCCCTCAAAGTGGACAACGAGGGCTTTGTGATACGTGCAGATGTCAACCAGAATGATATCCTTCAATATAAGCCATCAGGAGTGGATGTAGTGAGAGTATACAGTGTGTGTGTATGTGCATAACTGTGTATAGGCAGACAGTGGGGCTGATATAACTAGTAAACATGCTTCAGTTCATTTCATAACATTTCATTACAGTTTGACTTGAAGAAATTGATATGAAATTCAAAATATCTTAGTATTCAGTTTGTCTCTCTTCTGCTGACAGCAGAACTCAAGCTTCATTACCTCCACAAGTTTGTGTAAATCCTGATAATCATGTGATCCAGCATGATTTGAGAATCATCAAAAGAGCATCTTGTAATGCAATGGAGGCAAAAACATCACCTTTATTTATATAGTGCTTTTAACAATACAGATTGTGTCAAAGCAATTGTACAGCATTAATTAGGAAAATATTGTGTCAATAATGCAAAATTATAATAGTAAACACTCAATTTTCAGTTAAAGGCAGTTCATCATTGAATTCAGTGATGTCATCATCCAGCTCAGTTCAGTTTAAATAGTGTCTGTGCAATCAAGTCGACGATATCGCTTGAAATGAAGTGTCCCCAACTAAGCAAACCAGAGGCGAGGCGACAGCGGCAAGGAACCAAAACTCCATCGTGACAGAATGGAGAAAAAAACCTTGGGAGAAACCAGGCTCAGTCGGGGGGCCAGTTCTCCTCTGACCAGACGAAACCAGCAGTTCAATTCCAGGCTGCAGCAATGTCACATTGTGCAGAGGACTCAACTGGTTCCTGTGGTCTTGTCCCGGTCCCTTATCTGTACAAAAGTCACTAGTCTGCTTATTTGATGAATGACCTAGAAATAGAATAGAATTAGATGTTAAATCCCTGATTTCCAACTTGGCCTCGGGCTTTTGGACCCTATTGTAGATATTTGAGGATTGGGAAGTATATTCTCAGCACTACAACAAATAATTTTACCAAAACTTATTTTCACTCTCAGACCTCATCCATGTGGTCTAAAACAGAGGGAGAGGAGAGGGATTTAATCACCTTCTTTGTTTGTTTTTTATTGTTATTTTCTGCAATACTGTCTTCACACACCATCAAAAGTATCACATACAGATAGAAAGGAAGTTATTGTCAGGAAGTGTGGTTTGATAAGGCAGGATGTGAAATAGAGACACTTGTATTGTCTGATAATGGACAGTGATGGATTTGCCCAATAACAATTTCTCCCCAAATACCCTGTGACAAAGATCTGTTGTCAATCTTAGGTTCCTGAGAATTGAAGTTCGTCATGAGGGGTGTTTAAGGATTTGAAACTCAGTAGCGTCTCTAAATAGGATGGTTATTTTTGCACCTCACCACAGTTTGTAGACTATTCAGAACAGCTGTGTTTGTGTGAGTGTTTGCACTCATGTCTATTTGTGTCCGTGTGTGTTTTCTTTGTACCTGTGTGCGAGTACATATGTATCCTGCATCGTGTCTGGATTTGCTCCTTAACTGCATTGCTCTCTACGTTGTGCTGCTGAGGAGAAGGAGGGAAATTTTAACTCCAGCGACTCGGATTTCGATGATGATGAACCCAAGAAGTTTCACATCCAGATCCGACCGGTTGCCAGCAGTAACCGTAGTAACTCAGCAGCCAATGAACTGGAGTTGAAGGCCACAGTGGGGGCGTTGACCCTGCCCCCTAACAGAGCGGTAAGAGGTGTGGGGTATTTAATCTTTAATAGCTTAAGTAAGACTTATGCAGGTGGTTTTAAGAGATTTATTTTACAGCTATATATATATAAAGCTGTTTTATTCTACATGATGAGATCAAAAGACTAGTCAAATAACACTCACAACTTCCACAAGTCAGGTTGCACAGGATTTTACTAGTTCGCCTGCAAACATGTTTACAAGGTGCCAGACTGCTAAAATTAGCTCTTTTGAGCAAAAACAAAAAAACAGACAAAAGTTGTGGTGTTTAGTGTAATCAAATCTTTGAAAAATAATGTTTCTTGTCTAGCCCCTTAACTGTCACTCACATTTTTGAACATAGACGTGAAAGTGCATGATCCAAACTTAAATTTTTATAATTCATGAACGAAAACATTTTGTAACATGATATTGATGTACCATTTTCATGGTAATGCAATGTTTGATTTTAAAATGGGTTTCAAAGGATGAATTTTGAGATTTAAAGTCAAATAAATTGATATATAAATTAATATTTAAATTCAATTGATATATAATTTCTGATGATTTCTAAAGTGTGATAGAGAAAAGGGCAACAAAGAAGACTTTTTTTGACAAAGGTCAGAACTCCTGTTATGATGTAGATTTTTGAGGTGCACTCTTGTCAAAAATTAATCTATTACTTTTCCTACATAATTTTTAACAAAAACATTGGTAAAATATCTATTTAGGAGTCTTAGACCTTTAGATTAGATTAGGATTTAATTGTAATATAGTGAAGTAAACTTAGGCGTCCCACAGAGGGGACGAGTGACAGTTAAAGGGCTAGAGTATCTATGTCTAGTTTATTCAGAAAATCCACACATAGTACATTAAAACAAAATAATGAATGTGCAAGAGAATAAAGTCCATGACTGCTGTCATATTGGTTGGTTAGGAAAATAAAGAAGATCCAGCAAAACTTGCGCAAAGTTTGTGCATCTTTACATTTTACTCTCTCGTTTTAAAGATGTCATTAAAAAATATTGTGCACAACATTGATTAAAATTGTACTTGTACCTCCTCTCATTCATCCCATTGTGAAGGTGTCAGTAAAGAAGCAGCTCTCAGGTAAGTTAACTTGTATTCCCCTCTATATCTCAGATTATATTATGTATGTGTAAGTGTGAATATTTTTTTTTATGTGTGTAAGTGAATATTTTTCATGTGTCCCATTCCTCCGTTACAGGAAACTCCAGTTCAGCAGGTCGATCTGAAGGGGAAGGGGAAAGTGTTCCCCAGAGAGGTCTGTCACACTCCGCAGACGTCCATTTCTGTACTCATTCAGCTAGAGTTACATCGTAGATCATTCATTTTTCAGTGCTCATGCATTGTACCTGCGACTAATTTCGACAAGCCATCTCAAATGGCCACAGTCACACACACAGAATGTCCCACCTCCTCCTCTGTCCACATTATTAGATGTCATTATCCCACAAACACAGCTCCAATTTGACACCTTAATCACAGCAATCTGCCATCCAGCTGACCTGGGATCAGTGTCATAACTGCACTGTCATAATTGCCTTATACTGACAGCCTGATCTCAGTCTCAGAATGAGCTCTGTTTTTGTATTGTGGGTTTTGACAATAATAGCAAAAGTGGAAACAATATGGTGTGTGTATGTGGCTCACTATTACTCAAACCTTTCTTATTGCAGACATTAGTCACATAGATTAATGCTACTATTTTGATAGTTCATGGTTTGAATAATTTTAGATGAAAAATGTATATATTTTTTATCCGGTAATATTATACTGTGCTGTTATATGCTGTACGTTATGTATTATGGGTGTGTTATAATGGTTAAACGTCTAGGCTGGTTACCATCACTATCACTATTGTGGCCATGAGAAAGGCATTTAACCTAATGTTTCTTCAGGGAGAATCCCTATAGTAAGTGTACTGTAAGCCACTTTGGATAAAAACATCTGCTAAATGACCCCTTACTTTATTATTGTATGGTATTGTTATATTGCACAGTAGAGTAATGTTTTTTGTTTTGTTTTACAGATGGAGAACAGGAGGGTCTGCGCAGATCCACATCCAGCCCAGATCACAGCAGGTACAAAAAGATTTTCCATACAGTATAATAACTGAACACTTTAACATCCAAAAATGCAGATTTAAAGGTGAAGTATGTAGTTTTTGTGGCACTAAATGCATAAATACTAAATGCTGACTGTTGGTCTTTACCCAAACCCACACCATTGGTTGAGCCAGAAGTTAACATGTTAAGACAAACAACAAAAATGCAGTTTAATAAATAAATACAAATTCAAACTTTAATTGATTAAAATTTCAATTGAATTGAATACTATTGCAAATTATTTAATTTAAATATATTTTTATTAGCTTATTATAAGTATATAGATTATAATATTTTAAAGGTTATTTATGTTATTTAGATGTACAATCATCTTTATTAGGTTATTTATATCATTTAGATTATAAACACTACCATTCAAAAGTTTGCAGTCAGTAATGTTTTCAATGTTTTTGAAAGAAGATTCTTATGCTCACCAAAGCTGCATTTATTTGATCAAAAGTACAGTAAAACAGTAATATTATGAAATTTTACTCCATTACAATTTAAAATAACTCTTTTATATTTTAATATATTTAAAAATATTCCTGTGAAAGTTTCAGCAGCCATTATTCCAGTCTTCAGTGTCACATGATCCTTCAGAGATTATTCAAATATGCTGATTTAGTGCTCAAGAAAAAAAAATGTTATAATCAGTGTTGAACACTTTTGCTGATTTATGTATTAATGTATTTGTGGAAACCACGAACCAGTGCTTCCTTGCTCAATAAAGGAATTCATTTCTTTTAAAGAAAAATAATTTACAGACCCCAAACTTTTAACACTAGTGTATATTTTAGTATGTAGCATAATAATAATGTAGCATTTTAATGGCTTCAGTTTCTCCTACATTCACTTCTTCACCCGTTCAGTTTCCTTCCTCTCATCTCTGCAGGCTGAGTTCCACAGCATCCGGTTCGGACGCTCTGTTTGGACCTCCTCTGGAGTCGGCCTTTAAATCCCACAGCTTTGCTGGCAGAGAGCAGCTCCAGAAGGCCTTTGCTGCATCTGAATGTAAATCTCCAGCAGCACACCACCCCCAACCACATTACCGTGATAGATGAGAATCGACTGGACGAGTTATTCTCTTAGAGCATTTTAGAAATCTGAGAATTAAAAGCTTTAAACTAGCCAAATGTGTGCCAAAGTGTGCATTACCATATTCTAAGAATTAATTGACTCGCTTTGTCAGAACTGCTTGTGAAGGCATTAAAGCATGAATTATTCAATTATGGACCAAAGTGGAATGTGAATTGTGTTTCTGCAGTCAGCCTTTTCCACATCAGTCTGTTGCTTTTTAAAGAAATTTCTATTCTGATCAGTAATAGACTTTTCTTCATGTTTGACAGATGCAGCCTTCTCTTCTGATTCATCCTCTCCTGAGAATGTGGAGGATTCCGGACTGGATTCGCCATCCCATCAGCCCCTTGGGGCTTCCCCAGAGCCCACCGGTTGGGCAGCCTGGCCATCCACTCAGTCTCAATCTAAAGACTCTGTAAACTTGAGCCGATCCTGTGACCCCTTCCTCACTGCGTTCAGTGACCCCTCACTTGGTCGATCTCCTCTTCCACAGGATGACCCCACAAAAGCCTGGCCTTCCAATCTACGTTCTCCACGGGCCCCACCCGACGTCGAGCCCACCACCTTCAGCTTCCCGGCCTTCTCCCACAGCCTGCCGTCTTCAGAACTGGAGCCCTCTGTGTGGAGCTGTAAACACATTCCTCCAGAAGACCCCTTCTTGGATGCTTTTGAACGCTCTGCCCCCAAAGACAACCTGCCTCCACCTGATGCCTGGGCCCTGCCTCCCCCTCGGCCCACCAGGGACGGCAGGGGCATGGAAGGCCGCACCGATCCCTTTTATTTAACATTTAAACGTTTATTATTATTATTATTATTATTAATGTTTTAAACAGTTGTGCTGCTTAATATTTTTGCGGAAACCACAATAAATAAATCAGTAATTACTTTCATTAATTTATTTAGTATTGATTTAAAAATAAAAAAATCTTACTGACCCCCAAACATTTCAGTGGAAGTGAATTTGTTTTAACAATGTTAACTCAAAATCCACACACACACATTTGATGCGTGAACAAATCGTTCAGAGCAATTGAATGATTTGTTTCCATCTCAGAAATACAAGTATTTATGAATCAGACATTTCTGCTTTTCTCATGAATCAGGCAAATGTCATGATTTTCAGTGAATTTTCTAAAGTCTTGGAAAATACCATACAAGTCATATAGACCACTTTTATGGTGCTCTTTCACATTTATTATATTGAAAAAAGTGGCCAAGATATTGTTCAAATTGTTTTGTTCCATGGAATAAAGTCAATTGTGTTTGGTATGACATGAGGGTGAATAAATGATGACAGAATTTTCATATTTGGGTTCTTTATTTTCCCTCTTGTCTCTCTCTCTCTCTCAGTTTCCCAGCATGGTTTCAGGCAGGACAGCACTGAGCGTCTGGCATTGGCTCCCCCTCGGTCGGTACGGCCCAAGCGCTCCGCAGGCAGGCTCAGTGGCTGTGAGCGGGTAAATGTTCCACAGACTTTTATTACACCAACTATCCAACCAGCACACTTAAGCTTCTTTAAAACCATATAAACAAATCCCTTAATCGGGCTCTGCTGCAGCCTCTTTCATTTGTTTTATGAGATGCAGTTTCTCTCATGTGGTCATTCAAATTGCTCCCTTGACTTCAGCTCTAAATTAACACCCCTATTGAGATTGCACTTCAAGCTTTTAATTGTTTTATACTGTAAGGTAACAAATAATATTACAGGACATAGAAACAGGCCTCTGGTGGTTTGTTCAGCCCAAAAACATTTGTTTTCCATCCACACACTGTAGAAAGGAGAAATAGAGAGTGAACAGATAACATGGACATGAACTATCTATGATCTATCTATCTATATATCTATCTGTCTGTTTTTATTTGTGCTTTTCTACTGTTCACTTAAATAGTCCTGTGGTGTGAAAAAATAATTTAAAAATTAAAACATTTATCCTGTGTAGTCTTCCAATTAATATGAGGTAAAAATCTGCATGTATGATAATTATAAAAAAATATATAAATTATTTAAAAAATCTAAAAATTGTAAATGTTTAAATTATGTTATACTGTATAAATTAGTTTCATATCCCATTGTACACTGTAGCACACTGCAGAAAGTACCGTAAATCCAGTTCAGAATTTTGATTTTGGCCCTTTTTCTGTGGTGTGTCTCAGTCTAGGTCCCTGTGCTCATCTCCTTTGCCTAAGCCCAGTCCTCCCCTCACCTCTTCATCCTCCTCCAGCCCCAGCGAATGGGGGGTGCAGAACCGTGTTCCCAGCCCAGCCCGAGGTTACCCGAGGCACCTCTATTTCCCTAAACACCCACATTATCACAGAACTTAATCATATATTACACTGAGAAACAGCCTCAGGAGTTTTGCTGTAATTTTATTATGCTAATCTAATATAGACATGCACATGCACATTTATGGAGGGGACTCTCAGGAAATGTCCTCGTCACTATTTTGCCGTGTCTGATTTTGTCCGATAGCCCATGGGCATGTACCTAATATCGAGGAAGTCCTATTTGGTATTCAATTGCTGATTCATTTATTTATCCACCGTTCCACATAATCCCAGAACCGACAGTGGCAAACCAAGTTATGAAGTTAAATATGTCACAAGTTCATTAAGACACTTGCGTTTGCCTTGATTAGCAGTTTTATGTTCTATTGAAAATGATGTTTGAAATCTTTGTGGACATTTCTAAATGTAATGTTGAATTGTGATCCTGCAGGTTTGTCCCGAGGGCCCAGTCCCATTTCTCTGAGTACTCAGGAGTCTTGGCCTGTAGCTGCAGCCATCACGGAGTACATCAATGCCTACTTCAAAGGAGGAGAACACAACTGGTCCGTCCGAGCTTCTTTCACCCCATCTGGAGGACAAAGCCTTTTATCACACTGTAGCTCCAACTTAAAGTGATTTGCTGTCCAACCTTTTGTGTGTTTGGGTTTCAGCTGTCTGGTTAAGATCACCGGTGACCTCACTATGTCCTTTCCTGCTGGCATCATCCGCATTTTCACCGCCAACCCCAACGCACCAGTATTAAGCTTCAGATTGGTGAACATCTCTCGAGTGGACCACTTCTTACCCAACCAGAAGTTACTCTACAGGTATGATGCCCTTAAACACTAAAACTGACCTGGACTGGGTTTAATTCAAGTTCTGTTGACAGCATCTTTGGTCTTTGTACCTACAGCGACCCGTCACAGAGTGACCCGGACACCAAGGATTTCTGGTTCAACATGCCGGCCTTGACGCTCCACCTGCAGAGAGAGGCAGAGCTGAACCCACAGGCCTCCTATTACAATGTGGCTCTGCTAAAATACCAGGTCAGTCAACACAAACCTAATGAGTGCTTGAATTACAATATGACCTGCTTTATTGATACCTAAAGGAATATTCCGTGTTCAGTACAAGTTAAGCTTAATTGTTTTAGTTGCTGTGATGACATAAACCCTAAAACGATTATAAAAATTATTATTTAAACAGCTGAAATAATATCGATGTTTTAACAGAAGAATTAATGTACGCTGCCGTTCCAAAGTTTGGGTTTAGATTTTTAAAAAGAAATTGATTAGCCCCTTGAGTCCCACGCTTTTTGCACTATTCATAGAGCCATTAGCTCAGGCAATTAGAGAAGATACAGAAATTCTAGGAATTCCAATGAAAGAAACCGAACACAAAATATGCCTGTATGCAGATGACATTCTTATGACTATTCCCGAGCCAGATTCCAGTTTACCTAAACTCATGTCTTGTCTTGAGCAGTTTGGTTGGTATTCAGGATATAAACTAAATTTACACAAAACCCAAACCCTCTCTTTTAATTATTCACCACAGGAAAATATCCGTAAAAAATATAATTTTAAATGGAAAACAAACAGTATTAAATACCTGGGGGTTATCATACCAAAGAATTTGGCTAAAATGTATATTTCTAATTATGGATCTATTACGAAGGAACTGAAAGCAGACTTGGATAATTGGACACCTCTAACTTTTAGTTTGTATAATCGAATAGAAATTATAAGGATGAATGTTTTACCGCGATTATTATTTTTCTTTCAATCACTACCTGTAGAGAGATACCAAAAAAACAATTTAATGACTGGAACCGAATGATCTCAAGATTTATATGGACAAATCAGAAACTCAGGGTAAGACTTAAAACACTACAATTACCAAAGGAAAGGGGAGGACTGTCTCTTCCCTGTTTGGAAGATTATTATAAAGCAGCACAATTAAAATATCTAGTTTGCTGGTGTATTGACGATTATGAAGCAAAATGGAAAGAATTAGAATTCAAACAGCTAGACTTTCCTCTCCCTTCTTTATTAGGGGACAAAACTACTAAGATTATGTACTGTAACAAATTAAGCAATTGGACATTAGTTCCTCTTAATACTTGGTTCAAAGAATGCAAAACTCTGAAATTGGAAAGACAAGCACGGCTGCTAAGATGGGTGGCATATGATAGAGACTTCAAACCTGCACAGATGGATGTGCGGTTTAAACAATGGATATGGAATGGCATTACATCATATTGTACAGTTTCATCCAAGATTGGTTTAGAAAGCTTCCAACATCTTATTGATACCTATAATTTAGAGAAACACGATTTCTATAGATATTTACAGCTTAGAAATCACTTTAATAAAAATATTAATAATGAGGCAACTGAATTGAGTCTCATAAACGTTTTTGCTGATGCATATAAAGGTGGTATTCACAAGAAACTGGTGTCAAAAATATATTCATGTATACAGTCCTCTAAGTCTCACTCTACCTTATATATTAAAGAAAAATGGGAGAAGGAGGCGAATATAGTTCTAACGGAAGAAGATTGGTTAAACATTTGTAAGTCACAGCATGCAACCTCCAGTTCTGGTCAGTGGAGAGAATTCTCATGGAAAAACGTCATTAGATTCTTTATTACTCCAAAAAGAAAATATGTACTGAATGGTAATCCAGAATCTGCACTTTGCTGGAGACGATGTAACAACTCAATGGCGGATTATTTTCATATATTCTGGAACTGTCCGGCAATCCAATCATACTGGTTAATGGTAATCACTGAAACAGAATCAATACTGGGTTTTGAGATTGATCATAGCTTTGGTACTATATATTTAGGAAACATACCAACTGATTTGAATGCTCAAGACAAGTACCTTCTCAGATTGTTATTGGTTGCTAGTAAAAAAGCAATAACCAAGAAATGGCTGGATGAGAATCCACCAACAAAAAAAGAGTGGATAGTGATTGTAAAGGATATGTTTGATATGGAGAAAATGACTAAGTATGGATACATTTTACAAGAACTGGTCGAAATGGTTAATACACAGGAAAATAGATAGTACATAAATAGATGTTAAGTGTTTTACAGTGAATGC